AGTAGTATTTTATTTTCATATCATGTACTTATTAGACATTTCACATAAAACTATCACAGAAAGGATTTAGCCTGAAGTGAAATCACTTGCCCAACCCAGCAAACAACGCCTGACACATGAAATAATAGACAGACAGGACCAAACCAAACAAATTTTCTTTGATGCATGATGAACATTTCCTTTTATGTTTTTAAATGTCTGAACGGGATGCTTTTTTTTATTTTGCCATGTGGTACGTGAGAAAACAGTTTTGGTCCTTGTTCAAGCGCAGATTACATTTCCCGCCGTACACCTGTGTGAAATGATTATAAATATACATAAAAAATAAATGAGTGAATCCTCTGTACCCTCTGAATCAGTCAAATATAGATTGTTGTTATTTTATGTGTGAAAATTGAAAAGACAGGACAGGTACTACCGAACAGACCATTGCACCATTCATTTATACACAAGTCATGTAAAGATCAAAATTCCACCATTATGCAATAATAATAACATTGCAAAACATATTTTTAAGGTGACATCTTAGTTATGAAATACTAAAAATTGTGTGGTGTTAAATTTGTATGGAATTGCATGAATTATGCAGATTGCTTCATAAAATGTAATATAATGATGGATGAGGAACATAGTCAAAAATACCTGCTGTATCAAATTTGATACATACAATTTTAACATGATTTTTTCTACAAAATGATGTAAAAATATGAAGACTTCATAGATTAATCTAAGAAAGTAAATGCTCATATTGAAGAATCACTAACACTATTTAAGCTATTCTTTCACTAACCTTTTCAAAATTGACAAAGTTGTTTCTCCCAAAAGAAGAAAAAGTGACCTTACCAATGTCTACTCTGAGCCTGTTATTTACTGAAAACTATGGAAAGCCCACTAGGAAGTAGCTGACAAGTATTTTATTGTATACAACAGGTTTTTCAGGAAAAAATATTGTTTATGTGGGTGGGACAGGTTTCAGAATGTTGTGTGTCAAATATGATACAAATGGCATTAGAGTTCTTCAAAATCATCAACATTTTATTTATGTTATTATTATACATTATTTTTTTTATATACTCCCGTTCCTCTCAAGTTATAACAGGTCATAATATAATAGAAACCTCATACTTGGAGTTGTGTTTTGTTTCATTCATATGTTTAAATTAACCCTTTATTATTAGTCTGTCTACATCTCCAGGTCTCAAAATGCTCTGTTACACCTTGAGATGTCATGTAGTGGTAATTTTCAGATCGACAGCCACATTTTACTTTTAGCTCGGTACAGATCAGCCTAAATTTGCAGGGTTTGTGCGTTAAACATGAGTGAAAGAAACAAAACACAACTCCAGCTATGCATGAAAAATAACATAGACTAAAAAAATAGCATGATATGGACCCTTTAAGGTGATTCTTTGGTAGAGTTATGTAACGGCTCAATAGACCAACAGAAAAGGGCCCCTGACAGCTGTGATGGGCCCCTGCAGAGACAAAAACACCAGTGACAGCTGTGCTTGGTGTTTGTGTTTTGCGACAGCTTCTGTTCAGCACCTGGCCTGAAACTTTACTTAAACTGAGATGTGTTGTGTTCTGTTATGGCAATATACATGAAGTAATGGTGTAAACATCTTCATTCATTTCAGTACTTTAATACTTCAATACTTTTAGTCACAGTTTTATCCAAAATGTTCAAAGATTTAAGACCTATTAGTAGTCAGAATGTTTTACTTTTAAATACTATGTAAGTTTCTGGAGGTAGTGGGTTCCCTGCATGATTTTGTGGAAATAGGAAGTTAAAACCATACTTCTGAACTTTTTTTTAAAAAAAAAGCTAATGCAATACTGGGTAAGATTATAGCAAAGGGAGCAACATTTCCATGAAGACAAGAAAGATTTAGACTTAAATTTAGACTTAGACAAATTTAATTAATCCACAAGGGAAATTATTTGGACACAGTAGCTCACACATCACAATACAATACAATACAATACAATACAATACAATACAATACAATACAATACAATACAATACAATACAATATAATAACAAAGAGTAAATAAATATAACTGTGGAAATAAATTCTTAATATGTAACAAAAAAAAAAGACAGCAAGAGACTGGTGTCAAACAAGACATAATTATATAAATGTATATGTACAACTCAAAATAGAAAAATAAATAAAATAGAAATATAAGTAATAAAATATACAAATAGAAAGATAAGTAATAAAATAAAATTGAAAAATCTAAAATAAAATAGAAAGATAAGCAATAAAATATAAAAAGTTGTTGCACAGTTGTAGGGAGTATTATCTGTTACATAAGGGTGAGTTATTGTACAGTTGTAGGGAGTATTATCTGTTCCATAAAGGTGAGTTATTGTACAGTTGTAGGGAGTATTATCTGTTACATAAAGGTGAGTTATTGTACAGTTGTAGGGAGTATTATCTGTTCCATAAAGGTGAGTTATTGTACAGTTGTAGGTAGTATTATCTGTTACATAAGGGTGAGTTGTTGTACAGTTGTAGGGAGTATTATCTGTTACATAAGGGTGAGTTGTTGTACAGTTGTAGGGAGTATTATCTGTTACATAAGGGTGAGTTGTTGTACAGTTGTATAGAGTATGTATGTGTATGGAGAGTTATGCACCGGAGCTTTAAATAAAACAATACTTTCAGAGCCCACGGTGGCTGAGCAGCACTCTCGCCTCACAGCAATCAGGTTCCACGTCTCCTGGGTATTTCTGTGCAGAGTTTGCATGTTCTTACCATGTCTGGGTAAGTTTCCTCCTTAGCCTATTTAAGACCCCATATTTGGAGATGCAGACGGACTAATAATAAAAGATTACTCAAACATGTGTGAATGAAAACACAACTCCATGTACGTTTTGGAGGAGATAACAACATTTTAACATTACTTAAAGCTTACAAGAGTCAATTTTGTGTAACATTAATCCTTTAAGCTGAAACAACTAAACTCCCAAAAGCAGCAGGTATCAGAGTTTGAAAGCCACACGTAAAAGGCAGTGCATACTATTGCTGGGTTTCAGATGACATCATTACATTCTATAGAGCAATATTTTTTAATACAGACAGGGGGCAGCTAAAATTAATACTGTTCAACTGCAGATTTTTGGACTATAACATGGTCTTGGGTCTAGTCAGTAATTGAAATGATCAGATTGTACATTTACAAATTTAACTTTCTAATATTTCATAATAAAGTACAATGTAATCAATAGGACAAACTGGCTCTTACTGCCCATCTTGAAGTATTACACCATCACATTTTAGAATCTCAAAACCACTAATAGGCCTACTGAAAAACAGTTCTATTGCCTTTTCTGTTACAAAATGTTGAAAATAGCTACACTTGATAATAATGACAGCATAAACTAAAGTAAGTAAAGTCAATTTTTAAACTGAGGGGTAGTTGTTGAATTCTATGTACAGTGTGAATGTGCTGATGTTGCATGTACTTATATGTGATTGATTGAAAAAATATATAGCAACAATCAATCAAACTGTATTTATAAAGTGCTTTTCATACAAAAATTTAACACAATGTGCTTCACAATGATTAAAAACAATGCCACATTTCCTTACAACACAACCCCACAGCTCCCTGACCCCACACAACCAAACAACCCAGACAGTCTCACACACACACACACACACACACACACAAACACACACACATATTAACAAGCTAAAATACATAAAACTACACCTAGTAAAATATGAGGCTGAATAGCTCATTGATGTTAGATTAGAAGAGTCGGGGTGGGATTAAATAAGTTTTCTTCTTCCCACTCCTTTTTGTGCAAATTTTTTGTTGTGGTTATTTTCATTATTATGACTTCACTTATGTTATATGTTCCATTGTGTAAGAATGTAAATCTTCGAAATAAACACATACATAATACAGACAAACCAGTTGAGAAAGCACCGCCAGAGGAGCCGTCTACATCAGGAGCAGAGAGCTGTCCACCACCACCAGGAACCATCACAGGGCCCATGGAGAGATCAAGGCCAAGCACCAACCCTCTACCAGGAATCGCCACAGGCCCCAGGGGAGAGTTGAGGCCCAAGCACCAACCCTCCACCAGGACACGGGGATCAGTGGAAACATGAGGCCCAAGCACCACCCCTCCACCAGGAGCCCACAGGACAGACCCCGGCAGTCGCAGCTGACCACCACTCTGGTGTAGAGGAAACACTGGAAATCCTAAAAATGATAAAGGAATATGAGTTGAAGCTAATAGTGCCTAAAATAAAAAGAAATATAGTACAATATGTATAATAAAAATAAGTAAAAGTATAACATTTCAATCAAAAGCTGAGCATTTTCCCTGTCTTATAGATGATTTGACATCAACCTGCCAAGAGATAATGATAACATATTTACATTTTAAATATTCATAATGATAAATATTCATTGAAGGTGAACAGTATTACTTTTTGGTTGGGGGTCTGTCACCTGCTTGTTTCTGTGGAGATGCCATTGCTCTGCCTGGAATGTTCCACAGTGTGACATTAAACAGTTGTACCTTACATTTACTCAATTACAGGTGGTTTTATAGCTGGAAGATACCTAGAAAAACAAATATTCTGACTGTGAGTGGGGTTGCCTCTCCACTGATTTGACCCGTAACTTAGTCTCGTTTGGTCTCCATGATGATAGAAATGTTTAATGTCATACTGCGAAACATTCCAGACAAAACAATAAGATCTCCATGAACCAGAAAAGTTACACAATGCCCCTTCTAATTGTTTTTTTGCTGTCCCCAAATAAATAAAATAAATGAACTGATATATAGGCTCGTTGTACTTCTAACCTCACGCCACTAGATGTCACTGTCCACCAAATACTACACAGCCTATCACCACCTGACAAATGGCTGTTACTCCCTTGTTTCCCCCCTCTCTTCCCCCTTCCTCTCCCTTACCTTACCCGTGTTCCTCCTCCTGTCTCAGTCCATAACGCCGAATCGCTGACGTCTCCAAGTGCGTCCCGGTATGTCCGCCTCAGCAAAGACGGGAGCGTAAGAAGCAGAGGGGAGGGTCTCCACGCGGGAGGGAGCAAGGGAGGGACGGAGGGGGCGAGAGAAAGGAGCCAGAACAAGTGCGCCGTCCCGGGGTCTTCAGCACTGCGTTTGTGTCAAGGTAAGTGACCACTACCACCGTCGGTCCCCTTGTCTCCTGTGCGTCTTTACGCATGCTTCTGTCAGCGGGTACACGTTAGAGCAATGTTAACTTGAGATTAGCACGAGGTTGGTCATATTGTAATTGTTGAAATGGTTTGTGAAATGGTTTTAAAAGTTAGTTTCCCATGGGTTTAAGAATTATAATGAAAAATTGCACTTGTTGCCATAGTGATTAACAATTTAAAACTAGTTATTATTGTTTTTGACTAGGAAAAAGTCATCAAAACGTTGCATATAACAGGAAGTTCACGTCTATAGTCACTTTTTATAGTGTAATTTCTTATCTTGCTTTTCCTGGAATATCCCACAGTATGGCATTACTGTACTTTAATTTCATCCAGTCAACTCCAGGCGTCTTATTTTAGCCAAAACATCGCCTACTTGGCACAGTCTTCTGCCTGTCTCCATGGTGATTGCTGAGTTTTATGCCATTTTGTGTAACATTTCAGGCAAAAGAACAGAAGGTTTTGGACTTTTCCTTAAAAAAAAAACAACAAAGCTACAGCATATCTCTTTACTTGAAGTTGTTTTGTAGTAAGTGGGTGCATGAAAAAATAACTTAAAGCTTGTACTAGCAGAACTTTGTGTAGTATTTTTACTCCTGCATTATCTTGTGCTTGCACTCTGAGTTTGTGCGTTTGGTTTCTTGCAGATAACGCGTTTTTACAATTGTCTGATTGGCAGGATTGTTTTGAACTGTCAACTGTAGTGTACTGTAAGACTCCGAGATATCTATTGACTGTTTTTGTTGTTTTTGAATCAGGCTGTTGTGTTAAGAGCTGATCGGACTATTTTTGTAATTGTCAAATTGCTGTACACTTAAATGTAACCTGGTCCCACAATGTCCAAAATTAGATTAGAATTATCACGTATTATTTGACCATCTGAATTTCTGACATGTTGTTTGGCAAGTGTAGTGTATTATGTCAGCGACAGACTTGTTTTACACCAAGTATCTCTCATTAGTTTTAAGTGAACTTTCCACAGTATCATTTGGAATCATTCTGGATGCCAATACCATTTTAAAGCTGCACTATGAAACTTTTTGGTTGGGGCTCCGTCACCTGCTTTTTTCAATGGATATGTCATTGCTCTGCCTGGAATTTTCCAAAGTTTGACATTACACAGCTCCACAGCTCAAAAATACCTATATAAACAGGCATTCTGACTGTGAGCGGGTTGCCTCTCCACAGATCTGACCTGTAACTTGGTCTGGTTGGTCTCCATGATGATAGCAAGGATTTCTTGTCCATATATTTGAGCAAAAATTGTCTTGCCATAGTACAGATATATTGTATAAGCGGCTTTTGAGGACTGTAATTATAAAGTAGTTTATTGTCTAGTCATCAGGAAGTGCACAGTTAGCATGCTTAGTTATATTATACTTATAAACTTTGTGGTGTAAAAGGAGAATGCTCTAAATGCATATCTTTGGAAACTGTTGTGAACTACTTCTGTTTTCATGTTTTTAAGAAAGAAAAAAAAAAAAAATCAAGTGCAACATCTTTAAAGAGTCTGTCACTTACTTGTCTCCATGGTGATGTTATTGCTCTGTCTAAAATGTTTCACAGTATGGCATTAAACCTTTCTATCGTCATACAGACCAAACCAGACCAAGTTACAGGTCAGATCTGTGGAAAAGTGACCCCGCTCAAGTCAGAATGCAGAATTGTTTAGGTATTGTTGAGCCACAAAACCACCTATACTTGAATAAAATTGAGTTATTTAATGCCATACTGTGGAACATTCCAGGCAAAGCAATGACAGAAACATGCCTGTGATGGACCCCCAACCAAAAAGATACATAGTGCACCTTTAATAAATTAATTAACATGGATTATCTTAGAAAAAACTTTTAAAGAGCTGTTCTGCAAAATCAACTTTGTTCTCCATTCTCGAAGTTATGTGTTCTGCATTCTTGACATCATTGCTCCACTCTACCCCCAATATTCACCTCCACAGTACACACCCACTGCTCTGTACTTACTCCATTCTCCAGTTACATTTTCGTATTCAATGACACACGGACGATTCAGCAGCGTCACGGATTTTTGGCACCATTTTTTTTAACCAGCTGCTCGTCGGTGTGATCTGCAGAGCCTTTGTTCGGCAGTGCAGCTCTTTGTTGTGATGACGTGTATGGAGATGCCTGGTGCTCCCATTGGGCTTTGCAATTTTCCAGCTCAGAAATCATTAGTTCATTTCTTTTATGAAGTAGTTTTAGATCAATATTAAAAACAGTATGTCTTTTTGTAAGGTTACTTCCACAAAAACATACCTGGAGTTGTGTTTTGTTTCATTCACACATGTTTGAGCAACTTTTATTATTACTCCAAAGCTCAAAATGCTCAGTTCCAACTTGTGATGTCTTGAAGCGGTAGTTTTCAAGCTGCCTTTTGCCTTTTGTTCAGTAGAGATCAGCAATTCCAGAGCTGAAATTATCCAGATGATTCTTGTGAAAGTGTATGGAGTTTGAAAGCACAGTTAGAGCATTTCTCGGGACAGGGCTTTTCCTTTTGAGAGAAAAAACAAACACAACTCCAGGTCTGTTTGTGATGAGGAACCAACATTATAGATCAGAAAAAAGCGTAATATGAGTTCTTTACATTGTTGTTGTGATCTGGGTTTTGCTGTTTTTCCGTCACAACTTTCCAGTCACTAAACCATCTGTAATTGCCCCTCACTCACCTTCAAAGACCCTTGTGACACCTGTTGCTCTAAGCTGTGGAACCCCAAACAATCATTTCAACTTTTTCCTCAATACTTAAAGGTGCACTGTGTAACATTCCTCAAGAAGGGTCTGTCACCTGCTTGTCTGTGATGATGTTACACTGCAAAAAACTAAATCTAGTCAAGTTAAGATGACTTGAATTAAGCAAGCTTTATCATGAGTTGAGTAAAGTAAAATGATCTGCCAATGGAACAAGACTTTTTGTATTTAAAATATGAAAATACATCTGTACACACAATACACACTTAAAATAAGAAAAACAACTTTTTGCACTTAAAATAAGAAACTAAATCGAATGTTGCTTGAATTAAGAAAAACACACTTATTCCATTGGTGGATAATTTTACTTGTCAAGTTGAATCTACTCAAATAAAGTCAAATGTTCTTAATTCAAGTCATTTTAACTTACCTAGATTTTTTTTTTTCCCAGTGTATTGCTAAAATAACAAAAATATTTTGCAGGTTGGCATTAAAAGGATCCATCTTGCATTGATTCAATAAATAAAATAAATGCAGTACATTTTTTTGTGCTTAAAATATTTTGAAATACATATATTCTTACTGTGAGTGTGAGTGTCTCCATAGAGCTGGCCTGTAACCTAGCTTGGTGACATCACATGCTTGCTTTTATGGAAATAGATAAGAGTAATACCATATTGTGGCACATTCCAGGAAACATCTCCATGGAGACAAGCAGATGGCAGACCCTATGTTACGCAAAATTTACTCTTGTGAAATTTAAGCCATGTTAAAATATTGTTACCACCTCAAAAACATACCTGGAGTTGTGTTTTGTTTCAGTCCCCATGTCTGAGTAACCCTTTACTATTAGTTTGCCTACATCTCCAAAGCTCAAAACTCTTTGCTCCACCTTGTGATGTCTTGTAGTGATAGTTTTCAAGTTAAAACGAAATCTTTAAAGTTAAAACCTTTCACCTTTTGTTCATTAGACACAATTTCAGAGCTGAAATTATCCATATGATTCTAGAAAACGTGTATGGAGTTTAAAGTTGCATTGTGGAACTTTTCTGGTGAAGGGTCTGTTACCTGCTTGTCTTAACGAAGATGTTATTGCTTTGTCTAGAATGTTCCACGATCTGTCTCGAGGGTGACAACTCTAGGCTACATTACAGGTCAGATCTGTGGAAAGGCAACCCTACTCACAAAGAGAATTCTTGTATTTTTGAACAATAGAATTACCTGTAATGACAAGTTCTAGATAGATGTGTTTAATGTCATACCATGGAACATTGCAGGGAAGCCTAACATTACCATGGAGACAAGCAGGTGACGGACCCTTCACCAGAAAAGTTGCACAATGCACCTTTAAACTGCACCTTTAAGAAGAACTAAACACGTGTAAATGAAACAAAACACGACTCCAAGAATGTTTTTGATGAGGAAACAACATTACAACATAGATCAAAAAAACTGTGTAATGTGGGACCTTTAAAACAAATTGGAACATTGCATTTGAGAATCTGAAGCAGCAACTGAAGCCGTGGAGGATTGGCACGGCTGGAAGTAGCTGAGTTGTGAAGCTAAAATTAAGCCAGGAGCTAATGTGGAATGTTTCACTTGGGCAGTAAGACGAAGGCCCACTGACCCCGCTGACGGTGACAAGTCTTCAGAGCCCATCCCAGCGCTCCTACTCATTAAGAAGGAAAACTCTCTGAAGCAGGCAAAAACAGACCAGGTTGTTTTTGGGTTGGTGCAGGAGCTAGTTGTGTAATTTATTTCATGTGTGGACATTTTTGGCCCAGGACCATGGTAAATCACTAGGTGGAATTTATGGAGTGTAACCTTTGTCACGGTGAAACTGAATCGGTTCAAATGGTCCTTGACTCACCAGGCCACAGTTCTATATGTTCTATATGTGGGGCTATAGTTACAAGAGATAAAACGTATGATAGAAATAATGTAATGTAATGGAACCTACGTGAAACAAAACCATGACTCCTCTGTGTTTCCAAATATGAGCTAGACATTTTCAAATCAAATGTAGCTTTAAATGATAAGAATTGTAATTGATGTATTTTTAATTACAAAAACATTGGTCGTGATGGTTGTTCAGTTTGTAATTTAGTGTTTTGGCTCTCTAGATAATTATGTAATCAGAAAGCAGAATGAGTCTCACTTTTGTCTCTCATTTGTGTTGCCAGTTTCAATGCTGAAATCCAGTAGCCTCATTCATCAGCCGGTTTACTTAGTAGAAATTGTTTGATTAG